TTATTACGAAATTAAAGAATGAATTGCTAATTTCAAAACAAGTACGCCAAATAACCATGTGCATTGACAGTAAACCATGGCATACCCAAATCTACAGTATATTACAATGCGCCTCTCCGTGTTAAAAGTACTTCAAAAAAAAAAAACAAGTTTGATCTTTCGAGTTTATAACTTAATGAACTCAACCCCTGGAAATTTGGTTGTTGATATAGAATGTAATAATTAAATTTAGTAATGTATTCAAATTTTTAGGGGCTGAGTCATTAAGTTATAAACTTGAAAGTTAAAATTTGGTGACTTTTAAATATAAACATCTGAAGATTATTAATTTAAAATTCTTAAAGTATAAGGGTCGATTTTCGTTCAAATATACTTATCTATCATTAAATTTGGTAAGCTAATGCACGTCTGTAAGGACGTGCAAGACACTATTACTTATATTTTTACGATAATTACAATCAATTATGGCATTTACAACGATTATGACAATTATAATAATCACGGCATTGCAACAGTTATAACCATTACGACATATTTACAATTCTGAGTATTAGTTGTAATTAGGGTTGTAACCCAGGTTGTAATTCATAATGTCCGTAATTTTTACTTACGGCCGGAAACTTTAAATAAAGTCCCTCCTTAATATCTGCTCTCCCAACGTTGCATACTTACCGTTCTTTAGGCTACTATCCTCCCATCCGAAATGCTTACGATACTAGTTATATCGCAAAATATCAGTTAATGCTCTCCCACCTGAAAGCATAATATTACAGTAATTTAACCCTCAAACGATTAGGTAGTATTTTATGCAAAATAATTTACACATGTTAATAGCATTATTTCTCTTAAAATTCTTTAAAATTAGATTTTATTTAATTGCTCTCATGAATTATCTTATCCTATATATAATTTCAAGGATGGTATTTAAATTTCGACCATAGGTGCAGATCTGAGTCATAGCTTAGTTATGACAAGATAAAAAAAAGTCACATAAATCTGGTTTTTTATATAAAGCGCAATTGAGAAAGAAGTCTAGCAAACTATTAATAAATTATAACTTATTATAAATTATATAAAGAAGTTAATATTCAACTTGTAAATGTAGCAAATATTTGCTTAATTTGTAAATTGAAAGAAGACTTTATTATATATCCGTTTTATTAATAAATAAAAAATAGCATTAATATTCTTTACTGAATATTAAAAATCAGGTCAGACTAATTTAATTCGGTGTTTACATTGCATCTTTGCTTTGAAAGAGAGAGAGTGGGTAGGAAGGTTTCGAGGGGTTTACATAGTAAAATTTTCAAATTTGTTTTTTTTTTTTTTTTTTTTTTTTTTTTTTTTTAAATAGCCCGTTTTCTTATGCTTTTTTTTTTACTATGAGGGAGAGAGGAAATGGGGAGGGGGTAATGTAAACCACCGAATCAAATTGGTCTGGCCTTAATAACTTTAAGACTACTTGCAATTAACTATATATAGTAGCAATATAATAGATGTTGGCAATACGAATTGGAAACTCGTTTCATATAAGCATAAAATTCTTGATCATGAAAGTGATTGATTTCTTGAGAGGTGTGAGTGTTTTGATAAAAGTTAGGATCAAAAATATTATTTTCTAGTAGCTGAGCGTTAAATTGATGTCCATGTAGAAATAGTAGAGGTGATGTATCACTCTGCATGGCATTAGATGTTTCATTAAAGCTACTTTCAGAATCGTTACGAATGTCCTGTTCTAAGAGTCTACTGTCCGTTTTTGGCCCACGTTTTTTACCCGATTCAATAAACGTACACTCAATATTATATAATGTACAACGTTCGCAAGTAGCTTTTCCTGAACATTTTACATGTCTTTGTTGACAACTTGTGCATGCCTTTTTCACGTAAGAGCCTCGTTGTTGTCTTTGTAGCCTTTGTCGTTGATTCATGATTTTATATGAAGTAAGTTAAATATTATAATGCGATTGTCAATCTTTGTTTTAATTTAAGGAATAAACGAAAATAATTTTTTAAGAAATTATTTCATACAAAAAGAGATTTAAAAATGACCTATATTTTGAATTTGATAAAAAAATAAAGTAATTATATAAATTTTATCATTTATAGTATAACTAAATGAGTAAATATTTTTCTTCTCGTTTTATTATGTTGTGTGTGAAATTAATATCAGCGTGAGTTAAAATACAGTCAACTCTCTCTAAATGCACGTTCTCTAAGTGCAACTCTAATAAAATATTCTTTGATTGCAAGAATAATTTTGGTCCAAAGTATTTAAAGCAATATGAATTTTATCTTCTCTAAGTGCAATATCTCTCTAAGTGAAAGGATTTTTGTTTGTTTTTTTTTTTTTTAATAGTCAATTTTTCGTAGGCCCAGCGAATTGCACTTAGAGAGTCCTCTGTATTTATAATCATGCCAAAACCCCTAACATAGTTAAACTCAAGTTTTAAGATTCACAACAGTAACTTGCATATTTTTTTCCGTGATTAGTAATACGTACTTGCATATTTTTTTTCCGTGAGTGTGATTAGGTAATATCTAACATAACCGGAAAAGAAAGACAATATATTTTATGTTCAAAAATAGTCAACTTTAAATTGATAATAATATATATATATATATTTACAAGTTTGATATGTATAGAGATGAGCAAAGTCAGTTACATATTATTACTTAATATTACTTAATATTACTGTGAAATAGGTAATAATAAAGTAATTTTATAATAATTTGATTCTTAGCAGCAATTTTTCGTTCAATCTCAATTTTGATTATTCGCCTCCGACTGTTATCATGTGTTATATATGTATAAATAATAAGTAATAGAATGTAATAAACAGTTAATATTATTAAATATTAAGTAAGGAATAAGTCATAGGTCATTATTACTTACAAAATTACTTTGCTCATCTCTAGATATGTAGACGTACTGCATAAAGTTATTACATACAACAGTAATTATTACCGAAAAAATCATCGTTTCTTCATCAAATGGTACTAATAAATATTTAAATAGTACACGAGCTTTTTTGCTTTTCATTCAAATATAAATACTGTATACATTTTCATAATTTTTAAAATGGCCCATATCGGATTAATTATTTACTCATAAGTACTCTGATCAATTATGTCTCAAAGACAAGGACAACAGCAAAGACGGAAGCGAAGCACTTACGTAACTATGGCATGTACAAATTGCCGACAAAAACACGCAAAATGCTCCGGAAAAGTTACTTGTAGACGTTGCTCGCAACGTAATCTTGAGTGTACTTTTATTGATTCAGGTAAAAGACGAGGACCAAGGGCAGTCGGCAGACTTGTAGAACAGAATTATGTTAATAACGGTCCTGAACTTAATTTTAATGGAACATATATGCTATCCTCCGTAATTCCTAATATCACTCAGGGTTACTCATTAACTCTATT